GCCCGGCCCCCTTGCTTTTTTTCTCTCTCTATGAATGGAGAAGAGAGATACATTGTATCTCTCTAACTCCTGGCATAGAGAGAAAAAAAAAATGTTTGTAAAAAAAAAATAAAATAAAGAAATAAATATTAAAAAATAAAGAAAAATAGCTAGATCAAGGTTTGATCTAATTCAGTGCCAAGGTAATTGTTTGGGTCAGGGTCAAAGGTCAGGATTTAAAAAAAAAATTGGTATCAGTGTCAGAGTTAGTGTCAGTTTAGGAGAAAAAAAAGACAAAAACAAAATGCGCACTATTGTTTCTGGGCTGTACTAAGGGTAACAAACAGCAAATAACATACACATATATAGTATCGCTGTGATCGTCAAGAGCTGGAGAATTTTTTTTGGTTGTTCTTTGGTGGTAGGTTATGGTAGTAACAAGAAATGCACAGCTAAATAAAAAAAATGATTTTTTTTTTTACTATTGGGCCAGTTTTCCTTTTGATAATAAATAAAAATCAGGAGCTATTCATTACCATTTACCACCAAATGAAAGCCCAATTCATCCTGAAAAAACCAAGGTATAATCCACCTGTATATACAAAATAGTTGTGGTGATATGTACGGTTTTACTATCACATGTCAACGTTGCAGAATTGTGCTTAGGCATTTAGATTTGTTTTACCCTTAGGCGTGAAGGGGTTAATGAACTGTGAGGGCACAGGTGAGCGCTCTCATAGTTAATTGATTCTTCCTGCAATTCAGTAACTGCTTCTCATACAGGAGATATGGGCAGACAGTGTACTGAGAGTCTGCAGGAGCCTGCCATTGTGCTCGCTATCTGCTGATCATGTGTGCAATGCTTTACAGGCTCCAGTGTACAAAAATAATAAATGCGCGTTTTTTTTTTACCTGCAAAAAGATGTGCATTTATTATTTTTTCATAAAAAGTGAACTTATCCTATTAAACTGCCCAAACACTTTACATTTGGATTGTACAAACTACTAGAGTTAGGTAGAATGGTACAAAAATGAAAAAAAAAAAAATTAATTCAAGAAAACTGGTTAAAGAAGAGATTTAATACTAGATGGCCACACTATTACTGTGCAATATCAATGCAATCTCTATAGATTTACAACTTTGTAGCATGAATTCTTAAAGCGGAGTCCCAGCCATTTTTGTGTTTAATAAAAGTCAGCAGATACAAAAACTGTAGCTTACTGACTTTTAATAAACACACACTTACCTGTCCCAGGGTCCAGTGATGTACTCACCCGCTCTGTCCCCTTCTCTTCTTCTCTCCTCCACAGCACCGGCATCTCAAATGTGGGCACCAGGCTGTGGCAGCTTGTGGATTCACAGCCTGGTGCCCACTGTGCATGCGTAAGTCGCTCTGCGCCTCCTGATTGGTACAGCAGTCTTCTGGGACCTGTGAAAGTTCCCAGGAGACTGGGGGGAGAAAGGAGGGGGCTGAACTTCCGGCTGACTTCGCCGCGCTGAACTGAGCCGGAAGTGGGATCGGGTACCTGTCAAAAACAGGTATCCGCTCCCCCCCAAAAGGTGCCAAATATGGCAGTGGAGGGGGGGGATGAGTCAAATAAGTGGAGCTTCCGCTTTTGAGTGGAATTCCATTTTAACTAAACAATCTATTATATTTGTATTCAATCAGGTAAACCCTTGCACTACATAATCTTATTGTAACATCTTTGATCTGACTTACCTATGTTCTAACATGGACAATTAGGGGTTTATTTACTAAAGCTGGAAAGTCCAAAATCAGACTCCCTTCTGCATAGAAACCAATCCGCTTCCAGGTTTCATTGCCAAAGCTTCATTGAACAAGCTGAGGTTAGAAGCTGATTGGTTTCTATGCAGAAGGGAGTCTGATTTTGGACTCTCCAGCTTTAGTAAATAAACCACTTCGTGTCTTCTACTACTCAATCCTAAATTCATGGATGTATTTAATCCAATGTGAGCCCACACACCTTTACATGTTTGTACTATCCCATCTAAAAGTTCGAAAATTGCAAAAACAATTTCTATATGTATGGCACATTCTTAAACAAAAAAAAAAAAATCAATGTTTTTACCTGACCCATTGTCACAGAAACCGGAAGTAAAGGTCCTTAAGGGGACAAAGACAGCAATTAAAACTTGATAGAGATTTTTACCCTTACTCATTCAATTCAAAACTAAAAGGTTTTGGCTTAAAGCGGTTCTTCAGTCATTCTTAGAAAAATTAAAAATCAGCAGCTACAAAAACTGCAGCTGCTGACTTTTAAAAATAGGATACCTATCCCAGGAACCAGCACTGTCCTCACCTTGCCGGTTTATTCACCCGGGTTCAGTCCTTGGTGCTGGCATACTAACTGTGGTCAGCCAGCTGTGACTGCTTGCAGCTTCACAGGCGGCTGCCCACTGCACATGTTCAAACCATTTCCCAGAAGGCTGCAGGGGGAAAAAGGGGGGGGGGGGGCAATACCATGTACCCCCAAAAAATATAAAAGGTCCATAGTGAAGGAGGGGGTGTGGAGAGGAGGAGGAAGAACCAAATTTCCCCTTTTGGGTGAAGTTCTGCTTTAAAGCAGAATTAAGAAAAAAAATAACTCCGACAGGAGAGATCCTATAAAGCTGACCATAGATGGATTGAAATTTGTCTGGTTCAGCAGAGACTGGATGTATTTTGATCCATTTATGGCCGTTCCCTCCAATGATCGTCTTATGTCAATCAGCACTGTTCGAAAACTTTAATTCGATCAATTTATTTTGAGAGTGAAGGCATTCCTGCTGTTAGAATACAATAGCACAGTGGAGAGGATTCCTCCATCCAACTTGCTTGTGTGGATGGGGGAATGCGTTCTTTTTTTTGTGCCTCTAGCTGATGACCAAAAAAATGAATTATCGATGGCCAACCTTAGTCTTTTTGTCAAAGACCCTACTCCCTGCCTGTCCGCATTTGTGTTCACTGAGCCGCACATGCTCAACGCAGCATACAGGACTGGCTGTGCCGTAATGAAGTGACTCCTGTGTACATGCGCAGGAATAACATCATCATGGTCTGGCGAACCAAGCAGTCGAAGAGTCAAAACCTGAAAGGAAAACTGGAAAAAGATGGCAGTGCCTGCCACTGATGGGAGCATAGACATCGGGCCTCTAGTCATTTTCAGATTGGTACTTTTTCCTATGGAAATTGTAAGCTATGGGTAGTTGATAGTACCTAGTAGGTCTAATTCTAGTAGTTATACTTAGAAGTTAGAACTTCAAGAGCAGGAAAATTGTTGCAGTTGCAGGGTCAGCAACAAGAGAACCTAGCAAATATTACTGGCAGACACAACAGACTGCAGCTGGACCATGGAGCTCTGGCTTATAATGTGCGGTTGAAAAGTTTCAGCAACTCGTTGTAATTATCTAATGTGGTGCTGAAAGCCTGCATCTGACCCCCTTGTATGTCAATGTACACTTGCATTTAGTTACAGTGCTGCAATTTTTTTTTTAATGGAGTAACCACTGATTTCAAAGTGATGCTTTCCATCTGCAGTTGGGCGTAAGATGGTCAGATGTATTTACCTTTTGATCGTTTTGCGGCCCGCACAGCATTGTGAAGTTCTGTCTTTTCTTCTTGTTGATTTTCCAGCACTTGAATAAACTCCAACAAATAAACAGTGTTAGAAATGTGTTCTGTTCTAAATTTGACTGATTCATTCATAGCTGGCCTAATATTCGAGAACTCTGCTATTTCCAAACACATTTATGCAATTAGCATTTCCTGTTGGCTGATAATCACAAACATATTGTGAGACTTCCGAGCCATTGCTGGGATTTTAACAAATGCAAATATAATTTGGTGTCTAAAGTTTTGAAAATTGCAGAACCATTAAAACTAGATTTGTAACTAGTGGTTATAAATATTTATTTTGTGGATGCACTAAGGCTATGTGCCTGATCGTTGATGTATGTCATTCGGAATTGTGTGTGTTCTAGATTTATTTTGCTCTGGAACTGATCACTGAACTACTTAATTCTGTGCAATTTTCTTCTTAGAACTACAGGGGGCAATGCTGAGGCACATATGAGACTTAGAGTCTATTCACACTTGTGCGACTTGCCTTGCGACTTTGAACATGTCACACCTCATGTTTCCCAATTAGTACCATTCAAGTCACAGTGACTTGAAAGTAGTTCCTACACTACTTTGGTACGACTTTTTATGTGACTTTAGTCCAGCGAATGTAAATTCGGATCAGAGGTGCACCAAAAGTCGCATTGGAAATGGCGCGACTTTGGAGACATGCTAATTGAATTGAGCCTTATCCTAATTATTTCTAAGGGTCAGATTTAATTTTTATATTGCCATAATTCCTTCCAAGAGCCAGCCCACTGCTTGCATTAGGACTTAGGATTCTTGAGAGGAGTACTGAGGCAGAGTACTGTAATGCACCCTGCCTGCCCATCCCACCAGATATGATCTGCCTGCATTGCATAGAGTAGCACAGAGAACCAATGATGAAACAGAATAGTTTTGATTAAAAATGTTATTAGCTTGTTAATAAAGGGAGAGGCAGCTTGCACATTTTCAGAAGGATGTAAGCAATGGGGCTTACAAGTATTCAGTTTATAGCTGAATATCTAAATATATAGATAACACTACATAAGGAAGCTTTCCTTTTCATTTCTATCCATTTATACCTGAGAGTTACACAACCCTGGCAGACAACATAGCTGGGTGGATAACACTTCTTTCTCTGGTTCAATAGAGGAATAAACTATTGACACCACCCTTCCTTCAGCCTGTGATAGGACAGTGAGGGAGCAACAGCAGACTGATTGGGTCATCTTGTAGGAGCGTTCAAGTCAAACTGGTCGTTTATATATAATATAATATAATAACAAATTACAAGGAGTGGAAACTGCATTTATTTTTTTACATACTCCCCTGCTACATTTTTACACTTATCCCAGCATTTATCTCATATGTGGAAAGCTTCATCATAGAAAGCTTTGTCAGTATGCTTGAACAATCCTAGGACAGCCTGCTTCACTACGGTATCATTGTGTTCAACATTCCCACAGAAAGATTTGTCTCTTGTGCAATTTCACGACAGGTTATGTGTTGATTATCAAGGATCAGGCGTTCCACTTGCTGAAAGTTCACAGGAATGACTGCTGTGGGCTGGGAACCACTACAGCCGGGATTGCCACTGATGGATGTACAGCCATCTTTGAAACAATTACATCATTCAAATGTCTTACTGCGGCTGAGCATCTCATCACCGTTCTGCGCTCGAAGTCTTCTGTAGATATCCGTGTGTTTTTTGCCTTCGTCTCTGTACTGGTCTGCAACATGTGGGTTACCTTTCAGTAATAGGACACACTTGCCACCTACTATTGCATGTAGTACTACCACTCTAGCATCACTTTTTTACCTGTAAAATTAAAAGTCCCGGTTTGACTTGAATGCCCCTCATAGGTATATTAGTAATACATCTACTAAAACACACTAATGATTTAATAACTGCTAAAACCAATGGGCACTACTCTGTACTCTTACTACTTGACCTCTCTGCGGCTTTTGATACTGTTCACCATCCCCTCCTAAAAAAAAACTCCACTCTCTTGGCCTCAGAGACTCTGCTCTCTCCTGGTTCTCCTACCTATCGCAGCGCTCCTTCAGCGTTACCTATAACTCTGTCTCCTCTCCTCCACTTCCTCTTTCTGTAGGGGTCCCTCAAGGTTCTGTCCTTGGACCCCTTCTCTTCTCTATCTACACCTCCTCCCTTGGTCACTTGATAAACTCCCATGGCTTTAAGTACCATCTCTATGCTGATGACACACAAATCTATCTTTCTATTCCTCACCTCACGTCTTCAGTCTCCTCTCGCATTACTAACCTACTAAGTGACATATTGCCATGGATGTCACTCCACTTCCTCAAACTCAATCTTTCGAAAACTGAGCTCTTGCTATTCCCTCCAGCCCATGCCCCTCCCTTGACTTCTCCATCAAGATCAATAATACAACTATCAGTCCCTCCCCTCATGCCAGGGTACTAGGTGTAATCCTCGATTCCCATCTGTCCTTTCAGCCCCAAATCCAATTACTGTCCAAATCATGTAGACTTCACCTCCGCAACATCTCCAAGATTCACCCATTCTTAACCTTTGAAACTACTAAGCAACTTATTCACTCGCTTGTTATCTCTTTCCTTGACTATTGTAACTCCCTCCTCATTGGCCTACCTAATCGCAAGCTATCCCCTCTTTAGTCTATCATGAATGCTGTTGCCAGACTCATCCACCTTACCAGCCATTCCATATCTGCCATCCCTCTCTGCCAATCTCTCCACTGGCTTCCCATTGCCCAACAAATAAAATTCAAAACATTAACAATCACATATAAAACCATTTATAACTCTGCTCCAAATTACATCACCAATCTTGTCTCCAAATATCACCCACACTGTCCTCTCCACTCCACCCACAACCTCCCTGCTCTCTAGCTCCCATGCTCATCTACAGGACTTCTCCAGAGCCTCCCCCATCCTCTGGAACTCTCTACCCCAATCTATCAGACTATCGCCTACTCTGCCCACTTTTAGGCAATCTCTGAAAACCTATCTCTTCAGGAAAGCCTATCCTGCCTTCAGCTAATACGGAATCTTCTATTCCTTCTACCAGTCCACCTCCCACAGTTATTACCTTTTGTACCACCAGCCCTTTCCTCTTAGATTGTAAGCTTCGAGGAGCAGGGCCCTCCTAATCCTCTTGTATAGAACTGTATCGTGGCTGTATTGTCTCCCTTTATATTGTAAAATGCTAAGCAAAACTGTTGGCACTATATAAATCCTGTATAATAATAATTAATATACTAGTGAATACAGAGATGCATTAATGCTGTCTCCAATATCTGACTTTGAAGTCTCACACATTTCTATCTCTTTATAATCCTGCAGCTCATCGTGTTATGATTTATGTCTGATTTTAACTTGGAAATACTTTAAAGCCTAGCTCCAAGATAAAGATAAAAACCCCTCAGCATTGCAGGGGTTAAATTCTTGTTAACTCTAGAAGCGTATTTAGAATATTCAGTAAATCCCTGACCTTTTGGGTTTACAAACCAAACACAATAAACAATATTATGCTAGGATTTGTTTTTTTTTATAAAACTTTAAAAAGCACCATGGTAAATTAAAAATCATGCCAGGCAAATATGTGCCTATATTGCTGAGCCTTGTTATTTAAATATTTTATATTCATTTACCTACCAAAGTGTCTTTTCCATAATGTTGATATACATATGCTATATCTTTTCCACTAACCATAAAGGGGAGACTCTTGAGCTTCAGAAGGAAGGGAGGGGGTGTGGAAGTGGGTGCAGGAAACTTTCTCTTCTATCCTCCTAATCAGAAGCCAGTTGTAATGATCAATTTCTTTATTATCCTAATGCACCCTACATAACAAAATAGTTATTGGAGCCTTAAATTCTAACTCCATGTTTAATTTCCCTTTATTTCATTTGGACCAAGGTGGCCCAAACAAACTATTTACTGCAACAGATGAACTTGCTAGGTGTGCTTTATTAACTGTGTTTACAGCTACATACAGTATACAGCGTTGTGTTCCAGCATTGGGACTGGAACTTTCAGTCCCACTCCCAGAACAAAATAGAGTCGAGCCATTCAAAAGAAGCTTTGTATTCTGTGGATGAATACAAAGCTTCCTCTGGCTGTGGCGGAGAGGTGGGTGGATGACTCCATGATCGCCACCTCAGCCAATCAGAGGAGGTTTTGTGATTACTTTGCACCACCACATATGCTTTCTCTTTATCTACACTGTGATTGTTTAAACCATTTTTCTTTGTAGCCTCTTCCACAGAATCTCAATCCATCTGCTTCTTTTTTTAAACGGCTGAAAATGGGTACAGTTCCTGTGAGTATGAGGGTACTTTCATGCTGGTAAATGCTAATTAGGGGTTCTGTGAAAACTGTCAGCACAGCACATAGTTTGAAGCTGTGTGTTTCCTAAACATCCTGGTATTGATTACTCCACCCATTTCAACTTCTGTTCTGAAGTCCAAAAAAATTAACTGTAATCTTACTAAATACTAGACTACTTGTAAATTTCATATGTAAAGAGTTTTTAAATAAAAGATGCCACCTCCTCCTTATTCTCCATCCACAGGATGAGAACATCATCAATGTACCTGTACCAAGCTGAAATCTTGGACAGGTACACCAAAACTCCATGATAATCTGGTGTTTCTTTTCCCAAAGGTAAAGATATATGCTGGAGCAGTTTTTGCGCCCATGGCTGTTCCTTGAGTGTAGCAGTGATGGCTTTTATTTATCAAAATGGTGCATTTAGGGGTGGCATGTACACTGTAATTTATACCTAGTTTGCCAACTATTTGCTTGCATATTGGTGGCTTAATATTTGTAAGGTCAACTCTTTAAAGTGACCGTAAATATATATTTTTTTGGTGTGTAAAAAAAAAAAAAAGTTATATTTACCTGCTCAGAGTGATCCTTTATCTCCTCTACTGGAGTCCACTGTCCACCAGGTTGTGTGCTTCAATAGACACAAACAGGGCCTGTGAGCAATGCTCCTGGTCTCTTCTCACAGGAATTTGACAGACAACAGCAGGAGCCTGTTGTTCTCTCTGTTCTCAGTGTCTCCCGTGAAACAAGGAGGTGAAGGAACAGTGCAGCAGCTGGGACAGTGCTGGATCGCTGAGAGGAGCCAGGAAAGTGTTTTAGGGATGAGATCAAGTAGTGGGCAATATCTTACTTTAATGCAGTAAATGCATTTAGGGTTTAAAAAAAAAAAAACCTTTTTGACTTTAAAACCACTTTAAGGCCTAATAATTGTTTTGTTATGTATGATGAATTAGAACAATTAGGAAATTGATCATTACAACTCTCTTCCTGTTATGAGGATATGAGTATGTTTATCCCCTTTACATTAGGCGGGATTAGGTGATGCATTGAAGCTCAATGGCCCTCTTTAATGGTTAAGGCAGTGGTGGTCAACTGGACAGGCAACCTCCAGCATCACCAAAGGACCACATGTAAAATTCAGTGAATTATAATTATCAGAGACAGCAGATACGCAACAGGATGAAGTAATGTTACAGGAGACGGGCATGTTATAAAAGATGGTCAGAGACTGTGGACATGATAAAAGAGATTGTCACAGACTGCAGACATGATACCAGAGATTGCAGATATGATACCAGAGATGGTCAGAGACTGCAGACATTCTGCAGGAATTGGTCAGAATGTGAACATGCTATATGAGTTCCAGGAGACTGGGGACCTACTCTAGGAGACAGTCATAGATTGTAGACATATTACATGAGGCTGCTAGAGTTCAGTATAATAGGGCAATAGGAAAACACAGATTAGTGTTTGCAGGGGCCCCAAGGTCACACAAAAAGTTCCAAAGGGCCACAGGTTGGGCACCAAGGGGTTAGAGGAAAGGTTAGAGAATATGTATATCACCATTATGGAAAAGGTACCTTGACAAATACATAAACATTTACAATATCGGATGGTGTAAATTCCATGTCTCAGCTGGATAAGTACCCATTTGTCTGGCATATTTTAATGTAACATGATACATATTTTTAAAGTTTTGTATGAATAAAACATTTTTTTCAAATGGGATAAAGTCTGTTGTTTTTCCGTATTTATATCTTCGATCATTTTTTCTTTATTGTGTTTGGTCCATAAAAGTTCAGAAGGAGTTGAGTGCTAACTCAGAAGAGGCTGATGGTCTATGCTGTGGGCAGTTCCTTAGTGTCATCAAGCTCAGTGCAGGACTATCAGTCCTGCATTGTATGCGAGGAGGTAAACATGCAGGTTGAGGCACCTTAGAAAGGAGCCTACAGGGGACTGGTCGTACAGATGGAGGGAACCTGCCAGAGTGACAAATAAGACAATGATTACACCTTATTACTCTGTCCCTAGACTTAACAGGCATTGAACTCTTGCAGTGTGGTAGGAGGCCCACTGCAAGGGTATTTTTTTTTCTTATGTCCAGAGTTTGGCTTTAAAATACCTTATTTTTCTCTTATTGAAAATGCTGCTTCCTGCTCTCTCACTCCAGTGCTCCATACTGACATAGCTGAGTAATATCCACACCTCTCATCACAATTGCCTTCACACAGACTTGTGTTGCAAGAAAAAGAGGGTTACGTCTCTGACCATTTCTGTTACTGAGTGCTGATTACCAAGAACACTAGGTCTGTTAGACTGCACAGTCATATTTAGGCAACATGTACAACTGCTGTAATAGGAAAGTGGAGGTGAGATTGTGAAAACTGAGGTTGTTAATGCAATGTCTATTTAACTGAATATTTTTAATGTGGCTTCACTTGGACTAGGCCCACCCTTTAA